TAATATGGTAAATTACACTGATTGTTTTTTAATGCTAAACAAGCCTTGGATTCCTGGGCTAAACTCCATTTGGTCATGATACATTATCCTTTTAATACATTGCCGGATTTGATTTGCTGAGAATGGTTAAAGAATGTTTATGTCTATGGTCACGAATGATATTGATCAACAGTTTTCCTTTTTTTCTAAAGTAATTTTTTGGCCCAGGTATCAGAGTAACACTGGCCTCACAGAATGACTTCGGAAGTGCTCATTCCTATTTCAGCTTCTGGAAAATTTTATGTGGTATGAGAATTATTTCTTCCTTAAATGTTTGATAGGCATCACCACTAAAGCTGGAACTTCTTTATGGGAAGGCTTTATACAATTTTTATTTAAAAAATTAAGCAATTTTGTGCTATGATGTTACAATGACTACACTATCACTAGCTAATATGACTTTTTCAGCTCTGTTGTAATCTTATGGGACCACTGTTGTATATGTGATCCATCATTGACTGCAGCATCTGTTACAGAGCACATTATTATACTTTAATGATGTTCTTTCACTGTCTTCCTATTTGCATTATCCAATGTCTTTTTTTTTTTTTTTTTGAGACAGAGTCTCACTCTACATCGCCCAGGCTGGAATGCAGTGGCACGATCTTGGCTAACTGCAACCTCTGCTACCCAAGTTCAAGCAATTCTACTGCCCCAGTCTCCTGAGTAGCTGAGATTACAGGTGCCTGCCACTGCCCCCAGCTAATTTTTATACTTTTAGTAGAGACAGGGTTTCACCATGTGAACTCCATGGTTCCAGCAGGGGCAGATGGGGCAGAGCCATGTCCTGGGCCCTTCGGGCTTCTTGCACAGCCTGACCTCTTAGGCAGAAGATAGTTTGCAGATGGGACTCTCATTCTGTATTCTGAAGGCCGTGATTCTCAATTGAAGCTCGAAAGCAAAGCATGTCTGTTTGTGCTTCTCTCTCGGGAGCAGGGCTTCCTCAAGAATTCTAAATGACCCATAAAAACAACTGCCCTTTATTGAGCTCCTCCTGTGCACCAGGCCCTTTGCCAAACATTTTCACATACACCACCTCATTCAAGCTCGAGGGGTTGCTAGGAATATTAACTCCATTTTACAGACAAGGAGAATGATGATCAAAGGGTTCAACAGCCTGCCTAGCATCACACGGCTCCCTGGGTGGAGCCAGGTTTGACCTCTGACTCTTGCCTCCCTTCTCAATCCCATCCCCCTGCCATCCACTATACTTGCGTTCCTCCATTAATTCTCACTCCTCTTGGCGAAAGTCCCTGTTGGGTCCAAGAGAGTTGGGGAGGAAGGAGGATCTCAAACTCCTCCCCACCTATGCTGGCTCCTGGCCTAGGTGAGAGTCAGTGTCATGTCTGGACCTTGGTGACTGTCTCAGCCCTTCTTAGGCTCCCAGTTTCTCACAAATACTCACCCTGTGTCCAGTCAAAACTCACTTTTGACTTTAAAGGATCCATGTTACCAGTCCTTTTGAATGAAAGTGGGAAGCACCATGTTCTTCTTCCAGGCTATGGTGTTGTTAAAGGAAAAATTATTCAGTGAAACCTGTTAAAGCAAGGTACAGGAGACTTTATTTGGGACCATCGCTATAGATTCAGAGACCACTGCAATTGGGTTTTGCAGTGGGGGAAAGAGATTGCGCTGAACTCAGACAGGCAAGTGGGAATGGATCGCCAAGGAGCAGGATGGGGGTCAGTGAATGGAAAATTACTACGAGGAAACATGAGGGGCAAGGGGGTGCTGGCTCAGCTGACAACAGGATTCTTTCTGAAGTCAGGCCGAGGTGACCAGACATCACTTGAGGGATGTGGAGGATGAGGAGCCCATCAGGTATCAAGGGTGGTCAGATATTAAGAACCACCAGATATCAAGAGTGGACAAGGAAGTGCACAGGTGCGCTTAGGAGAAGGTTCAGAAGGCTGGCTGAAGTTTGGCCAAGCAAATAACTTTTGTCAGTGTGTGCCAGTCTTGTTCTCTCTCTGTGGAAAGAGAAGCTTCATTTGCTTAGAAAGAGACCCTTAGGGAGGATTTGGGGTATAGAGACCCTCAGCCTTGATCCTGTTTCCTTCACCACCAAATCAGAGAGCCAACTTCTCTGGGTTCCTTGCCAAGTGCAAACAAGGGATTCCCAGCACCTGGCTCCCCAAGGATCTTCCTCCAGGGCCTAGTAGGGCGCAGAGAGGTGGGACCTGCTGCTTGGCTTTGGGCAAAGTCAGCCTGTGGGGGTTCCTGGAGGCCCCTCCTTGGTCACCTCATACAGAATTGTGGACAAGAGGAGAGGCTCTACCCTGCAGAGATAGCGTGTTTGACTCTTACCCCAGGTTTAAACATGGGCAGACTAGAGAAGGACCACAGTATCTGGGCTGCTCTATTCCCTGGGCCAGGTGGCCTGGGGTGGGCACAAGAGGATGGCAGAGGAGGCAGGTGCGCTTCTTCTCCAGAAAGTGAGACTGAATCCTGAGCCTCACAAGTGTCAGCTGCCTTAAGACTCTGGCATCCATCAAACCATCAGCTTCCTCCAGGGCTTCATGTTGAGGTTGGAGGAGGCAGAGGCTGTGTGCCGTCCATCATGTCCCAAAAGTTGGGGAACTTCTTCTTGGAAACCTTAATCATTCTCCTCTCTCCTTGTTCCGAATATCCGGGAGAGCTTGGACGGGCCCCACTGGTGCTCTTATAGGGCAGTGAGTACTAAACAGTGATCTGGGCACTGGACTAGACTGGTCACAGCTTCCAGGGGCACTGGATGAAGTACAGATTCCAAGCTCACACCCAGAAATTTTTTTCTCAGGAGCTGGGCTGAGACAAAGGTGGAGTAAGAGAGGAGCCTAGGGTGCAAAGTTCAAGGAGCCCCCATTCTCAGGAGCAGACCCTGCGCTTGCAAGACCCCGAAGCAAGAGCTTCCTAAGGTCTGTGGCCTGGGCCCCTGGTTGCTTCACCCTGCTGGAGTTGTTGCCCTGTTCAGGGGGTTCTGGGGATGGCCCTGGGGGCCAGCCAAGTTTGGGAACCATTGCCCTCCACAAAACAAGTACTCAGGATCATGCAGAGAATAACAGGTGATGCCAACAGGATGACCTTTCTTCTTAGCAATGGCAAGGAAGTGCTAGGGCAGCTGGGTGGCTAGGAAGCTGGGATGGAAGTGATGGTAGAATAGGAGTCTGGGGCAGGGAGGAGCAGTGGGGAGGACAGGAAGAGTGACTGACAGACAGGAATGAGGTTGAGGAAGGACTTGGAGGCAATGGTCTTGCCCACTTCAGTAACTCACAATTCCCATCCCACCTCATCCCTTGAACCCAGCAACCCACTTGTGTTCTAGGGGGTAGCTGGGGGGTACAGGGCAATGGGGCCCCATATGGTGGAGATACCTGGGCGGGGTGGCTCATGGCCCAGCTGGCAGGAATCACTCTCCGCTCACCGGATGGAGGTTCACTGTGTGTGCTTCTCCTGATGGGTGAGCAGTCACAAAAAGCAGGGCTGGGAACAACTGCAGAGGCTGCTTTTATTGTGGCCCCTGCTCAGCTGGGGCTTCCTGCTCAAACTTCTTTGCCCCCCCAGGCTGGGAAGGCCCTCTGCCTCCTCCCATCTGCCCATGCCAGCGGCCACCTTGAGGTCTACCTGTCCATATTCCTTTACACGGATAATGAAGCATTGTCCTTACCCAGCCCACTGTTTTCTTCTGTTTGATGGTCCCTGTAATTCCAGGAGTTCATCAGGGAAAACCTTAATCCCATTTTCATGTAAGAGATAAAAGTAAAGGCCAAAGAGGTTAAGTGACATGAGCAAGGTTACCCGAAATGTGTTGGTTGGGTTTGCATAAAATTAAGGCTGAAGGTCATTTTCCTCTATGTGGTCTTGGTCCTCCCATCAGTCCAGCCCTCCCTCACAGATCAGGACTGTGATGCCTGCATGTCATGATGTCATGGTTCTTCACAAGGGACCTTTGTGCAGGTCTTGGGCTCCTACTGCCTTGAGTAGCTGTGACTTGTCACCACAGCGGGCCTGTCAGCTTCTCAGATGGCCATGTCCCCGAATGCCCCAGAGTGCCTTCACATGCCTGGTGATCAATAAATGCCTGCTGACTGAGTTCCTGTTAATGAACAGTGATGCTTCATCAGTGAATATTGATGGATTGGGACTCCAGCTTACTCTGGACAAGACGCCAGGGCTTTTGCCAAATGCAGCAAAGAATAATTCCCAGTAAGTTGAAGGCATTCTAATCCCCTACACAGGCAAATCTGTAATTGATTCAGGCTGGGGGATGGGGTGTCTCTCTGTTGTCATGGTGACTCATTAAAAAAAAAGAATTCTTTAACAGCATCCCAGACATTATGACTCTGAAGTAATAGCCCTTTTAAAATTGAATCATATTAATAAGATCCATCCGACTGCACAGTGTTTTTTTTTCCTTTGGATGCATTATTAACCTGGCTAGCAACAAGGCCTCATAAATGCAAAATGCCCATTCAATAAGAATACCATTTCCAGCGTGGAACAAGGAAAGCTGCAACTCTCCAACACTGGAGGTCCTGGTGGGTAAGGAATAAACTCTGAATGGTGATCTTTGGGTTGTAGAGTCTTGGATGGCCAGGACTCTGTGTGGGTCATCTTTCTTGGTTGAATCCTTAAAACTTGGGGCAGCCTATGCAGGCACACGAACCAGCTAGCCACAAAGCATCAGAGGGAAGTTGAGAAAAGAACAAAGTAAATTTCACAGAACTTCTACATTGTGTAAGAGATGAATTGCAAAAATCTTGATTCTCACAGTTCTTCTACCCCAGCGTCAGTTTCCAACATTGGATTTAACATTTTGGAAGTATTAGCACCATGGTGGATAGGATCTAAAATGACTCCCAACAGTCCCTACCTCCTGGCACCACACCCTGTGTAATCCCCTCCACTTGAGTGTGGGCAGGCCCTGCGACCTGCTTCTAACAATAAAATATGGCAAGGCAATGAAACAACATTTCTCTGATTATGTCACACAGAAGCAACTTCTGTCTTGTTGGCGGACTTTGTCCTTTAATGGCTTAGATGAAGCAAGGTGCCATATTGTGAGCTACTCTATGGAGAAAACGCCCTGGAAATCAACTGGGGATGGGCTCTGGTCACAGCCAGCAAGAACTGAGACTCTCAGTCCAGCAACTCACAAGGAACTGAATCCTGCCGAGAACCACATGACGTTGGAAGTAGGATCTTCCCCAGTCAGACCTTCAGATGAAATTCCAGTTCTGGCCAAAACCTTGACTGCAGCCTCATGAGAACGTCTACAACAGAAGACTCAGCTAATCCATGCTCAGATTATTGACCCACAGAAACTGTGAGATAGTGAACATGGCTTGTTTTAAGTTACTACCTTAGTGATCCTTACACAGCAATAGATAACTAATACAAATACCTACTGGTGTTGTAAATGCCGTGAATGCAACCATGCTGTTTTGGTTACTGAGCCCTGTAGTATTGTTTGAAGTCAGGTAGCATGACGCCTCTAGCTTTGTTCTCTTTGCTTAGGATTGCCTTAGCTCTTCAGGCTCCATTTTGGTTCCATACGAATTTTAAAATAGTTTTCTCTGGTTCTGTGAGGAATGTCAAGGGTAGTTTAATAAGAATAGCATTGAATCTATAAATTGCTTTGAGCAGTACAGCCATTTTAATGATATTGATTCTTCCTATCCATGCATGGAATGTTTTTCCATTTGTTTGTGTCCTTTATGATTTCTTTGAGCTGTGGCTTGTGGTTCTCTTTGCAGAGAACTTTTACCTCCTTAGTTAGCTGTATTTCTAGGTATTTTATTCTTTTTGTGGCAATTGTGAATGGAAATTTGTTCCTGATTTGGCTTGACTGCTGTTGGTGTATAGGAATGCTAGTAATTTTTGCACATTGATTTTGCTCCTGAGGCTTTGCTGAAGTTATTTATCAGCTTATAAAACATTTGGGCTGAGACTATGGGTTTTTCTAGATATAGACTCATGTCATCTGCAAACAGCAATAATATGACTTCCTCTCTTCCTATTTGGATGCCATTCATTTTTTGCTCCTGCCTGATTGCCCTGGCCAGAACTTCCAATACTATATTGAATAGGAGTGGCAAAAGAGGGCATCCTTGTCTTGTGTCAGTTTTCAAGGAAAATGCTTCCAGGCTTTGCCCATTCAATATGATGCTGGCTATGGGTTTGTCATACTGGCTCTTACTATTTTGAGATATGTTCCTTCCATACCTAGTTTTTTGAGAGTTCTTAACATGAATCACAATGTTGAATTTTATAAAAATCTTTTTCTTCATCTATTGCAAAAATCATGTGGTTATTGTCTTTGGTTCAATTTATGTGGTGAATCACATTTATTGATTTGTGTATGTTGAACCAACCTTGCATCCCAGGGATGAAGCCTACTTGATCATGGTGGATAAGCTTTTTGACGTGATACTGGATTTGGTTTGCCAGTATTTTGTTGAAGATTTTTGCATTGATGTTCATCTAGGATATTTACCTGATGTTTTCTTTTTGTTGTTGTTGTATGTTGGCCAGATTTTGGTATCATTCTATGATGCTGGCCTCATAGAATGAGTTAGGGAGAAGTCCCTCCTCCTCAGTTATTGATTTGTGTATGTTGTTTTTTTTTTTTTTTTGAGTAGCTTCAGTAGGAATGATACTAGCTCTTCTTTGTATATCTAGCAGAATTGAACTGTGAATCTGTCTGGTCCTGAACTTTTTTTGATTGGTAGACTACTTCTTACTGCCACAATTTCACAACTTGTTATTGATCTATTCAGGGATTCACTTTCTTCCTGGTTCAGTCTTAGGAAGGCTTTGTGTCCAGGAATTTATCCATTTCTTCTAGATACTCTACTTTACATGCATAAAGGTGTTCATAACATTCTCTGATGGTAGTTTGCATTTCTGTGGGGTCAGTGCCAACATTCCCCTTGTTGTTTCTGGCTGTGTTTATTTGAATATTCTCTCTTTTCTTCTTTACTAGGCTAGCTAGCTAGTGGTTTATCACTTTATTAATTTTTTTTTCAAAAAAACAAAACCTGGCTCCTGGATTCATTGATCATTTGGGTGGTTTTTCATGTCTCTCTCTCCTTCAGTGCAGCTCTGATGTGGGTTATTACTTCTGCTAACTTTGGGATTTGTTTGCTTTTTGTTCACTAGTTCTTTTAGGTATGATGTTAGGTTGTTAACCTGAGATCTTCCTAACGTTTTGATGTGGTCATTTAGTGCTATAAATTTTCCTCTCAACACTCCCTTAGCTGTGTCCCAGAGATTCTGGTATATGGTATCTTTTCTCAGTTTGAAAGAACTTCTTGATTTCTGCCTTAATTTCATTATTTACTAAAAAGTCATTCAGGAGCATGTTATTCAACTTCCATGAAACTGTATGGTTTTGAGTGAATTTCTTAGTCTTGATTTTGAATTTGATTGCACTGTGGTCCAAGAGAGTGTTCGTTATGATTTCAGTTCTTTTGCATTTGCTGAGGAGTATTTTACTTCCCATTATGTGATCAATTTTAGAGTAAGTGCTACATGTCAATGAGAAGAATGTATATTCTGTTGTGAAGATCCCTAAGAACCATCTTTATGGGTCTGTGTGCCCCTGTGTTGAGAGCATATATATTTAGGATAGTTAGATCTTCTTGTGGAATTGAACCCTTTACCATTATGTAATGCCCTTCTTTGTCGCTTTTGATCTTGTATTGTGTTTTTCAGCTCTATCAGTTCAGTTACATCCTTCTCTATACTGGCTACTTTGTCTGTCATCGCCTGCGATATTTTAGCATGATTCTTAGCTTCCTTGCATTGGGTTACAATATACTCCTTTAGCTCCATGAACTTTATTCCTATCCATATTCTGAATTCTACTTCTGTCATTTTAGCCATCTCAGCCTCACCTGAACTTTTACTGGAGAGGTAATGTGGTCATTTTGGGGAAAGAGGATACTTTGGCTTTTTGAGTTTTCAGAGGTCTTGTGCTGACTCTTTCTCATCTTTGTGGGCTCATTTACCTTCAATCTTTGAGGTTACTGACCTTCGGATGGATTTTTTTAGTCTTAACAGTCTGACCACCTTTCTGTAGGGCTGCTGCAGTATGTTGGGGGTTTGTTCCAGTCCACAGTCACCTCAGATTTTTCAGTACCTGGAGGTATCACCAGTGATGGTAGCAAAACAGCATAGATGGCAGTTTGCTCCTTCTTCTGGGAGTTCTGTTCCAAGGAGGTATGGACCTGTTGCTGGCCCAAACGCATCTATAGGAGATGGCTGGAGACTCCAGATAGGTCTCATCCAGTCAGAAAGAATGGGATTGGGACCTGCTTAAAAAAGTAGTCTGGCCATATTCTCACAGAGCGGCTGTGCTGTGCTGGGGGCACCCTTCAGCCCCTGGTCACCTTAGACATTCCAAAGCCCAAAGGCTTTTGCCTAAACAGCAAAGATGGCAGCCTGCCCCTCCTCCTGGGAGCTCCATCCCAAGGAGTCTTGAAACTTCTGTCAGCTGGAGAACACTGGTGAGTGTGGCTAGAGACTCTGGCTAGCAGGCTCCACTTGTCCTCCCTCTTAAAAAGCAGTTGGCCATGTTTTCATGAATCTGTTGTGCCGTGCTGGGGTACTACTTCCACCCTCTGCTGGCTTGGACTCTCCAAAGCCTGAAGGCTGGAACCCCTAAGTCACCCAAACAGCAAAGATGGTGGCCCACCTCTCCCTCTGGGAGTTCTGTCCCAGGGAATTTTCCAATTTCTGCAGGCTAAAGAACACCCATAGGGTGGCCGGAAGCTCTGATTGGAAGGTTCTGCCCAGTGAGGAGGTGGGCATCAGGGACCTGCTTAAGGCGGCAGTGTGGCGGTGCTTTATGGAGCGGCTGTGCCGTGCTGGGTACCGCCTATTCCCACAGTCACCTGGGGCTCCCGAGAGCCCAGAGGCTGGAATGGCTAAGTCACCTACACAGCAAAAATGGTGGCCCAGCCCTCCCTCTAGAAACTCTGTCCCAGGGAGTCTTCAAATCTCAGTTGGCCAGAGAACACTGGCAGGGGTGGCTGGAGGTGCCAGTTGGGAGGCTCTGCCCGTTGAGGCGGAATGGGATCAGGAGCCTGCTTAAGGAAGCAGTGTGGCCGCACTTTCATAGAGCCGCTGTGTACGCCGGGTACCACTTCTGTCCCGGCCAGCACGGGCTCTCCAAAGGCTGCAGGCTGGAATGGCTAAGTCACCCAAACAGCAAAGGTGGCGGCCCGCCCTTCCCTCTGAAAGCTCCGTCCCAGGGAGTTTTCAAATCTCTGTTGGCCAGAGAACACTGAAGGGGGCGGCTGGAGGCTCTGGCTGGGAGGTCCTGCCTGGCGAGGAGAACGGACTGGGGACTTGCTTAAAGAACAGCCTGGCCGTGTTTTGGTAGAGCAGCTGTGCTGTGCTGTGGGATCCCTTCTGCCCCTGGTCAGTTTGGACTTTCCTAAGCCCACAGACTGGAACGGCTAAGTTGCCCAAACAGCAAAGATGGCAGCCCGCCCCTACGCCCATAAGCTCCATCCCAGGGAAGCGCAATGCTGCTACTGGTGGCTGGCTGGAGTTTTTATCCTGTGAGGCACTGGGAAAGTGGGGCATGCCGACCATTAGTGCTTGGCCCCCTGGATTCAGCCTTTTTCCTAGGGGTACATATGGGGGTCTAACCTGCTTTGTCAGAGTTGTGGTTACTTTTGCCATGAAGCCCAGAGCTGGAGTATCTAAAGCTCCTGGATCTCCATGCCTATGTGGCTGAGCATCTGCTCTGCTGAGACTCCACACGGCTTCATGTGTCAGGCTGAAGGCCCTGATGACGTGGGTTCACAAGGGGATATCCTGCCCCAAGGGTTGCAAAGAATGTGGGAGAAGTGTGGTTTCCTGGGGTTGGCCATTCACTCACTGCTTCCCTGGGTCGGGGAGGTTCCCTTGGCTTTGTGTTGCTCCTAGGTGGGCTGTCATCCTGCCTTGCTTTTCTCTATTCTCTGTGGCTGAGTGCTTTCCTTGAATGCTATGCTGTCAGTCCCAGTGCGGATATCCGGAGGTTTCTGTTGAAGGTGCTGTATTTACTCACCCCTTCCCTTCCCCTCATCTCAGCCACTCCCCACAGACTAGGTCTTGACCGTCTTCTTGCATCTTCACCTGCAATCCTGTGCTGTGACCCAAGCATTGGATTTTTCCTAGCAATCCCCTTTGCTTATCTCCCCCTGCTCTCTAAACCGACCTCCCCTGTGGCCCAATCTATCAAGACACTTGACTCTGCTATGAAACTGGTAAGACAGTTTGTAATGATTGAATGCTGTGCTATTTAATTCTTCATTTTATTAGGAGAGAAGTTACATTTTATGAAGCATCTACTTTGTGCTGGGTGTTTTACCTCAGTTATCTTATTCACCACAAAAACTCTCTGAGTGGGTGTATTACCCATTTTCCCAATAAGGGAAACTAATATGCAGGGAAGTTAAGTGATACGCCAAAGGTCACACAGCCAGTGACGGTGGAGTAGGGGAGTGAGATTCAGCCAGTGCAGTTTCAATGCTTTTCCTTGGCACGCACGGGGCTCCTCCTTTCCTTCTCTGCAAAGTGCTAGCAGCGGTCACCAGAGGGCGATGTGGGGCGGCCATGAGCCTGGCTCTCCTGTAAGGCCTGTTGGTAAGATGCTGAGCCTGTGGTCCCCACATCTACCAACAGGGGGCAGGCAGGGAAAAGAAATGGGCCTTGGAGCAGCAAATGGGGACAGCCACAGCAGCTCACTATGTGAGTTGTTCTAAAAGTTACAGGTTCTACAGCGTGTTTCTGAAATCTTCCCTACATGTATTGAAGTGCCATATGCCGAGCAGAACTTTAATCTTTTTTGTTGATTAACTTAAAATTATCAGTAGCATTATGCTTTGGTAAAAAGAACACAATCCAATCTTTGCAATTTCCTGGCTTGGGCAACAAAGAGAACCACCATTCATTACCTCCTGCATGCCAGGCACCTTTACATGCTGTATCTCATTTAATCTTTACTTCTTTGAGAGGTTCAGAGAAGTAAAGTAATCTGTCCAGACTTACACAGCAGAGTCAGGATTGGTGGGTCCAGCTTCAAGGTTGCTTACCAGAACTAACTGCCTGGCATTCGTTAGTTCTCATTGATTCATATATTTGACAAACATTTATTTAGTGCCTACCATGTGTCAGGCCTGTGCTAGGCGCTGGAATCCAGGGATGACACACATCTTGTCTCTACCCATTACAGTCTAGGGAAGGGATGATTGCTCCAATTAGGATTGAGCCCTCCTCCTCCGCTGCTTTCTGTGATATTTCCTCTTGAAGCCTCTCTAAGCCTCAGTAGCCTCATCTGTCAAAGGGACATAGTCATAACAGTACCTGTCCCAGCGGTGGGATAGTTAGGCATGAAGCTAACGCACGTGGATCAAAGGGTAGAGTGCTAAAGTGGGTGAAGTAAAAGTTGCTACTTCTCTGAGGCCTGCTACACAGTGAATTCAAAGGCAGATTCACAAGGACAGTCTACCTTTTGCAGCACCAGTAGTAATATAAATTCTGGTGGTGGGTGCTTTCATATCTGATTTACACAAAAAGAAATTGAAACCCAGAAAGGGAAAGACATTTGGCTGAACTCTCTCAACTGCCTGGTGTTCATTAGTTCTCGTTGATTCATACAATTGACAAACATTTATTGAATGCCTACTATATGTCAGGCTTATGCTAGGCACTGGAATATGGGGGTGACTCACACATTGTCTCTACCCATTACAGTCTAGGGAATGGCTGATTGCTCCAGTCAGGATTGAGCCCTGATTCTCCACTGCCTTCTGTGATGTTTCCTCATCCATTCATTCATTCATTGACCCACGCACCAACTCACCCAACTATCCACTCACCCACCCGTCTATCCATGCACCCATCCACCCACTTATCTACCCACTCATTCACCCACCCACCTACCTATCCATCCATGCATCCATCCATCTACCAATCCACCCACTTGTCTGTACATCTATCTAAGCAATTGATTAGACTTTGCTTCCTCTGAATGAGGTCCCTCGGTAGTGTTCTCACAGTCATTTGTGCTTCCCTCTATCACGTTACTGATCACTCTTGGTAACATGGTGTCTTCTTTTGTCTGTGCCCCCTTCTAAATAGTGAGCTCCCAGAGAACAGGAGACAGGGGCATGAGAAACACTCAGTAATTGTGTGTTGAATAAAGCAGTGGTACCAGAAGTAGGATCTGGGCACCTCCGTTCTTGTGAAAGATCCAGAAGTAGGATCTGGGCACCTCCGTTCTTGTGAAAGATCCAGAAGTAGGATCTGGGCACCTCAGGTCTTGTGAAAGATCCAGAAGTAGGATCTGGGCACCTCAGGTCTTGTGAAAGATCCAGGGGCACAATTTTAGAACTTCCATTTGCATTTAATTTTTAACTAATCACAAGAACACAATTAATCATCCCTTGGTATTTAATACCTAGGTTGATAATGATGTCGCTGATGTATTGTATACTCCTGCATCACCCTGGTGCGTGAAGCATCCTGAGAGGAGGATGGGAATTCCACACCGTGGATGGCCCCCTGTGGCCTCCTCTCTTGTTTTTTGGCTTTGAGGCAATTTCAAAACAGCACTTTTTCAACTACAAGATGTCACTGGTGATAACTTTACAAAAATGAGGTTTTCAAATATCAGAATCTTTGTGTAACTTTGTAACAAGATGCCCAGTGATTAAAGTTTTTTAATTAGTTGGCGGTTAAATATGTTCGTTCATCCTCTGAATTGAATATAAAATGGTAAAACTGAGTCTTATATTTAGCAAAACAAAAGGGATAAACCAAGAAAGAAGACATGGGGTCTAGGACACAGGGGATCCCTCGCAGCACAGCAGGGTGGGGAAGGGGGCTGGATAGCAAGTCAGAATGCAGCAAGTTTACACGGAAATGAGGGGAGGGCTTGGGGAAACTGACCTGTTAGCAGGCCCGATGGGTAGCCAGGATGTGCCAGTTTAAGTACTTCTGAGTGGGTTTGTAAATAGCAGCCAACACGAGCTGCCCTTCTTCCATTGGCCATCCTCTTCCCAGGGCCTCCTGGACCTTGCCATGATCTGGACTCTGAGAAGTTCATGGGTGGCACAGCAAGGGGCTTCTGGCACCCTGCCTTGGTGCTTTGGTGACGAGTGCTCTGTCTATTCTGATTGCTCTGCTCTCTGCTAGAAATGATCCCCATAAATGGAATTAAATTGGGTTGGATGGTGATTAAAGTTTTTAGTACAATTCCTTGCTTCTTAGAATGTCTGATATGACGGAAAGTTTGAAAAAAGTGAGGATGTGATATAAGCAAATAGGATAAGAGCAAAGAAAGACAAATAGAAACTTCAGGACAAACTAAAAGTTAGCAAGAAAAGCAGCGTGCTCATAGTACTTTACCGCACTGGCTGAACTGCCATCAATATTTGCCTAGTCATAATGATGTAAACCTTGCTTCTTGATTTTCAATTGTTAGATTCAGCCTGTAAACAAAGAGCATAAACCTTACTTGTAGTTGTGGAACAGAATGTCAATCTTGAAAACATAATGTAAGGCTGGGTGCAGTGGCTTACACCTGTGCCTCGGCAGTTTGGGAGGCTGGGGGCGGGGGCAGATCACATGAGATCAGGAGTTGAGACCAACCTGGCCAACATGGTGAAACCCCATCTGTTCTAAATATACAAAAATTAGCAGGGCATGGTGGCGCGTGCCTGTAATCCCAGCTACTCGGGAGGCTGAGGCAGGAGAATCGCTTGAACCCAGGGGGCAGAGTTTGCAGTGAGCCAAGATCGCACCACTGTACTCCAGCCTGGGTGACAGAGTGAGACCCTGTCTCAAAAAAAAAAAAAAAAAAGAAGGAAACGAAAAGAAACAACTTAATGTAAAGCTGCCTTGAGTTGATAGGAAGGAGTAGGGAGAGTAGGGAGAGGAGTTAATATAGGAAGTCATTCGCTTAGACTCATCTGTGAAGTGAGAATGATAATGACAGTTTCTGCCATGCCAGGTTATTTGATTGTTTCTCTGAGCTACCTTTGGGATTTTATAGAAAGTCCAGCATCAGGACAGAGGTCACTCTCCCTGCCCAACAAAGAGGCCGGTAGCTTGCTGGCCGGGTGCGGTGGCTCACACCCGTAATCCCAGCACTTTGGGAGGCCAAGGTGGGTGGATCACCTGAGATCAGGAGTTCCAGACCAGCCTGGCCAACATGGTGAAACCTGTCTCTACTGAAAGTACAAAAATTATCGGGCATAGTGGCAGGTGCCTGTAATCCCAGCTACTCAGGAGGCTGAGGCAGGAGAATCACTTGAACCTGGGAGGTAAAGGTTTCAGTGAACCGAGATTGTGCCATTGCACTCCAGCCCAGGCAACAAGAGTGAAGCTTCACCTCAAAAAAAAAAAAAAAAAATATATATATATATATATATATATATCCTTAGCTTGCCAAAGGAGACTCAAGTGATACTCTGGAGCCATGGTGTGCCTAGGAGCAGAAATATAAAGGTAATATTTACACTTACAAAGGCGTCCAATGAGGAATTTAAAACAGTTTCCTGCTTACCCTGTGTTTAATCATATGCACTAAGAGATAATTCCTAAAATCATGAAGTCTAGAAAGTATGTTAAAATCATATTATCTGGAGACATGGAGGGAAACACTGGCAGAAGCAGCTGGAAGGGTCCAGAGTAGCCCCACTGGGAGCTGGTGGGGAGGGAGGGTGATAGCTGAGGCCTTCTTTTATAATTTCTTCTGTGCTCTCTGACTTAAAAAAAAAAAGTGTGCATATGCTAAAAAAACCCAACAAAAGGAGCTTTTTGGTCATCACACTGGATGTGATGAGGGCTATTCGACACACTCCATTCACAGGCAGTTCCTAGAATCTAAACTGTATTGGCAGACATGCTTCCCTTAGAAATCTGCTGCAGTTCACACTCCCTCCTTAAAAAACCTTGCGGCATGGGGGCCTAGGATGAAGCCCCTATTAAGCTTGATGAAGCGAGGCCGGAGAGAAGTGACCAGGTGGGCCACCAGGGATAAAAGGCCACTATTAAGGTCAGAAAGGAATTGCGGGCCCTTCTATGGGTGGAGCATATGTGCTGGCTGTGCGGGGGCAGAGCACAAGCGTTACTCAGGAGCTTCTTGGAAATGCACACCTGGGGCTCTACACCAGACCTTCTACATAAGATTCTGCATTTTAAGGAAACCCCCAATGTATTCACAGGCACATGGAGGTTTAAGAAGCAGTGAGTTAGAATACATAATCTGATCAACTTCCTGTATTATTACTAGCTGACATTTTAAAATTCTTCCTATGGTCCAGGTAGTATGCTAAGACTTTGCATATCTTGTCTTACTTAAGTTTCACACAACTTTACAAGGTAGAGACTCTTTCAAACACATTTTACAGATAAAGAAGCTAAAGTTTGGAGAGATTAAGCAACTTCCCTAAGGTTACACAGCAAAGAGCAGAGCAGAGATTTGAACCGGGTCATATTCTGACTCCAGAAAACTCATAGATCTCCAGGCTGAGGTTAGCAATGATGATACCCACCTTGGGAGAGCGGGGATTGTGCTAAGACTCCTAGAAAAACATTCAAATAGGAGAAGCTGTTCAAGAGCTGGGAAGAGCTGAGCACAAGGAAAGGGGATTTGGGTTCAAGAACCACTTTTTTGGGGGATTTGGATTCAATAACCTTTTTTTTTTTTTTTGAGGTGGAGTCTCACTCTCTGACCCAGGCTGGAGTGCAATGGCATAATCTCTGCTCACTGCAATCTCCGTCTCCCAGTTTCCAGTGATTCTCCTGCCTCAGCCTCCTGGGTAGTTGGGATTACAGGTACCTGCCACCATGCCCGGCTAATTTTTGTATTTTTAGTAGAGATCGGGTTTCACCAGGTTGGCCAGGCTGGTCTCAAACTCCTGACCTCAGGTGATCCACCCACCTCGTCCTCCCAAAGTGCTGGGATTACAGGTGTGAGGCACCGTGCCTGGCCAAGAACCACCTTTTAATAGGGCAACTTTGGGAAAGTCACTTAGACTCATCTGCGAAGTGCGAATGATAACGAGAGCTTCTGACATACCAGGTTATTTGATTATTCAGTGAGAAAACATGTGCAAATCCCTTGATAAAGTGTAAGCATCCAATCAACATTTATTGGACCCCTTCCTCTGTGCTAGATATTGGGGATGCAGAGGTGGGAGATGACACCCTGCCTTCTGGAAGTTCAGAGCTCATGGAAGGTGCAGTGGGAACAGATTATATCAGCGGATGAAGAATACAACGTGGTGTTATAACAGGGAAGCACGGGAGGCTGTTGCACTAGAAGAAAATGTGTACAATTCAGTCTGTGTGGGTAGAAATACTTCCCTAGAGAAGGTGGTACCTAAGTTGCATTCTGAAAAAGTCAGGCTAGTGGAAAAGGATATTCTGGATGAAGGGAACAACACGTAGCCAGAGCTGGAACAGTAATGAGAGATTTTGCACATAACTTTACCCAGAAGTCAGAGAACTAGAGGGCCTGGGGAAGGCAGTTACCTGCAACGCTGAGCAGGGCAGGGAATGGATAAGAGGTAAATATGCAGTTCATACACAGATTCTTCGAGCTCTCCCCCAACCTGCCTACTTCCTCTGACTTCTCATTGTCTCTCTTGGCTTCTAGGCTATTTCTGGCTTCTAAGGTTTCTGCTCTTTTCATTGACATACAGTTGCGCCCTCCTCTCCCCGTTGCTGGATTTGGCGATCCAGTACTGGGACTGGGGCCTTATACCCCCGCGGCTCTGCTTCCCAGCTTCTTCCTCAGACCTGACTCTGGTCTTAGGAACATGACATCCTTAGGGCTGCCATTTAGCCCACATGGTGGTTTTGTGTCTCTTCCTATGGGCAGATAGCCCTGTGCCAGAGTTCACAGATAAGCAAGTGAATGTTGACGGGCCTTCTCAGCTGGGGCATTTGTGCAGTGCTCAACCTGCACAACCACACATGGTGTCCTGATGTTCAAGATCCTGCCCCACTCTCTACTTAGACTAGGGGCACCTTGAGGTCAAAGATGCTCATACCGATCTCTATCATAGTGGCCAGGAACAGGATTACTCAGTGGGACAAATGGATGGACTTGTGCCCATATCCTCCAGCCCAGCTGCCAATGTCAGAGAAAAGGGATCCAGGGGTGACTGCTTGGCCTGTCTGGCAGTGCCAGGGCTAGACCTACTTCAGTCTGAAGCTCTCCCTCGCTCGGGCTTAGAGCACATGGACTACCCCATGTCTGCCCTCCAGTGGGACCCAACCTTGGCAAAGTGTCTGAGGCTGGAGTGGGGAGTGGGACCTTCAGGTCCTTCTACACAAGGGAAGATCATGGAGGGGTAAGGGAACAGGCCCTACCATGAGGGAATTACAACCGGTGGAGAGATATTCGATTTATCAAGCGAACAAACAATGAGTAATTCAAACAGCAGATCATTTTGGGGCCAGAGCCTGCGTTCAGGCTTCCCAGACTCCTCCAGTGAGTGTGCCTACTGCGCTCCCGCCCCAGGCCCCTGAGAGTCTAGGGTGAGTCGGCACCGCCTGCTGTGAGCTTGCAGGCTCTTTGAAATTACCCATTTCCTCTTAAAAATTCATGAGAATTTTTGCACTCTACTTCTGGGCCTGTTTTAACCTAACATTGATGTGTTAAGTTACTTTCTGTGAGTGAGACGGAGCTGCAGAAAATGCCTGTCAGCCCGCATGTGGCCAGCTCAGTGGCTGTACTGTTGCTTTTCCTGCCCTGCCTCCATTTCCTTTCTGGTACCAGGGACTCAATTTCTCTCCAGGGGAACTAAGCCTCCGCACTCTCTGCCCATAGCCGGACCTGCCCTGTTTCAGGTGCACCCATAACTCAGTTTACATTCCTCTGAGTGCAATGCTTCAGGAATTTACATGTGGGCTTGGCGCGGTGGCTCACGCCTGTAATCCCAGCAGATCACCTGAGGTCAGGAGTTTGAGACCAGCCTGGCAAACATGGCAAAACCCCATGCGTCTGTAATCCCCAACTACTGGGGAGGATGAGGCAGGAGAATAGTTTAAGCCCAGGAGGCAGAGGTTGGAGTGAGCCGAGATGGTGCCACTGCACTCTGTCCTGGGCGACAGAGCAAGACTCCACCTCAAAAAAAAAAAAAAAGAAAGAAAGAAATGAGTATGTGGCCCGAGCAGACCACCCCGTGAGCATCAGCCCTGGGGTGTCTGCTGCTGCTCTCTCAACAGAGAAGGCCTGTCTCAGCTTGGATGGGTAAACCACTGAGATGTAGCCCAGAGGTTTCAAGGTCGCTAGTAGAGAAAACTGCCTGGGAATGAACCAACCCAAAGGAAAGCAGAGCTGAGGGTGGAAAGGGGTAAACCCCAATGACATCATTTTAATCCCAGGATCCAGCTGTACCTAAAGCCATGTAATTTTTTGGTTAAATTGATTTGCCTTAGGTTATTTTCACTTGTAACTTTTAAGAGTCCTGACTAATCCACCTAGTGAACACACGCCCTGGTTTGGAGACACAGGCCTAGTGAAAAGAATGTTGGGACGTTGGTACCGGATGAGACGGCAGATGGGTCCTAGCTTGCCCACAAACCTGCTACATGATTTTAGAAGTTGGATTAGGTAGTCACCAGGGTTTCTTCCAACTTTAAGATTCTCTGCCTAAAAATCTTGTAGAGCTGAGTGCAGTGGCTGTAATCCCAGCCTCTCGGGAAGCTGAGGTTGGGGGAGAACTGCTTGAGCCAAGGAGTTTGAGTTCAGCCTGGGTAACATAGTGGGACCTTGCCTTTAAAAACAAACAAACAAACAAACAAACAAACAACCACCCCTCTCCACAAACAACAATAAAACAAAACAAAAAACTCTGTAGTATTGAAAGGTAAATTGACTGTAGGCTTGAGGAGACATTCCTAGGCTGAAAATCTGAAAATTCTAACTCTATCTGGGCAGGGCTTCGAGATCCGTATTTTTAACACAATGTCCAGGTAATTTTGATTCATAGCCAGGTTTGGAAACTACTCAAATTCTTAAATTCTTCCTGAAGCAGCCATTTAAAGTCTTCCAGTAAGAATTTATTGAACAGCTACTATGCGTCAGTGGCTCTGTTCTCTGACAATGGCCTCCTTGTTGGGTGGGGAGAGTGACCTCTGTACTTATGCTGGACTTTCTATAAAATCCCAAAGGTAGCTCTGAGAAAAACATACATTACTGGCAGCACTTCCTCCAGTCATTCACTTGCTTCATAAATGACATTTAAAGCTTTTATTTATGAATAAGCTATTCACTGTCCAGTTGGTTCATTTATAAATAGCAAGTAGATTAACATGTGCATTTATGTTGCTTTTGCTGTTGATGTCTCATTTAAAACCTTAACGAGACTGCACCCTAGCAACTGTAACTCACACATTACTAGAATTTAAATGGCTTATTATCAAGATAAACATTTATTATATTAAGGTATGCAATATCAGTGTCATATTTTATACATGGTTACTTGTAGCATAGTTCAGCTCGGGGCCAACACCATATTGAATTATTTAAAGCCATTTCTCCCAGGGTTATTAAAAAGTTCAGTAAAATATATATTAGTGTATAAAATTTTAATGCAGAGTTCACATTGCAGTGTTTGCAAGCTCTTGGCCTCTGGAAGAGGGAAGCCAGGGAAGCAGAGCTCCAAACAGACCCTGTCTTTGAGAACGTGCTCACAGCGCTACCAAACACAACCTCCACTTTGTCTCAGCGATGACTTCAAGCCCTGCAAAACTCTCTGTATAGAAGTTACAGGCAAGGAGGCCAGAATAAGGTGAAGCCACCACTCATGGCTCTGGGAGAACTTTGGGTCCTCAATCTCAGTGACTTTGACCCCTGCTGACTTGAATACAGGGAGGGAATCCGCCGATTGTCACTGCTCTCCAGGGCCCCCATATGGACTGCACTATACTCAGGTGGGCAACTAATTTGGTGTTTGCCACACTGTTATTAACCCATTGTGTGAGTGTTCGCTGTAGCTTCTCTGAAATGCACCTTCCCTAGAAGGGCTGGGTGGAGCTGAAGTACATGTTTTTGAAAACTCAGCCCTAGAGATGTCCTGTTTGCGTCCTGTCAAATGTAGGGCCAACTACTGCCAAAGTCCCCTCCTTGTTATCCAGAGCCCCCTATATCAGGGCAAGAGATCCTGCTGGCCAATGCGCGGTCACACCAGGGTTGGATCACGTGACCTTCAGCTTGAGCAAGTCACTGCATTCCCTTGAACCCTAATTTTCCCAACAAATGCCTGAGGATGTGAATATAGAACATGTGCCCCAGACTAGGTGCTCCACTACGGCTCATTCCCACACCAAGAATGTTGATTTTCTTCTCCTGAGATCTGGGCCATCAGCACCTTCTCATATTTCTTCTTTATCCCCCAGATGGCTGTGGGCCAGGCTGGCCTCCCAGCAGGTGCTCAGTAAATAATTGTTTTATGGTGGTAAAATGTATTGTATTGTTCGTTTCTCTTATCCTCTTTGTGGAAGAGACTCCAGGAGGAGGAAAAAGTCATTTTTCTCTCTTCTCTTTTCTTTTTTAACAGATAAGGGCAGACTGGATCTGGACTCCTTTGCCTCTGGAGATGTTGATAGCTTTTGGGTTTCAGAGCCCAGAACTGAAGCTACCAGGGCTCCTAGGTTGGGGTTCCCTGAAGCAGACCTCAGGTCAAGAGTTTGGGGGGCAATCTGGGAAGTAGTGAAGTGGAGAAGTGAGATTAGGCATGGAGGGCAGCTAACACAGGCTGTGCTAAGCAGCGGGTTACTGCTGAGAGCACCTCAGGCTCCATCCCACTTGGATGTCTGGGAGATTGCGTGAAACGTGCTCCCTGTGTGCTTCCACCATCGGGGCCAGGAGCTGACGCATTTATCCTCAAGTCATGGAGTGAGGTTGCTTCCAGGTCATTAACTTCCAGGCACGTCTGGCTTGCACAGTGAGCCAAGAGCACCCCTGTTACTGTAAAATCCCTTAAGCAGAGGCTCAGGAGCTTGTAGGCAGAAGCCGTTGGCATCCCCAGAAAGGTGAGTTCTGGGGTTAGCAGCAGATGCCTAGAGTGACTGCTATACCTGGTACCCAGAAGACAGCCCTTCCACCCTAGGGGCTCAAGCTTAGTTCTGCCTGAGGAGGAGGAGGTGGAAGCAGTGCTTGGTGCTTGGGGTGACTCCTGGAGGTGGAGGAGAAGAAGGTGATGGTGAGGTCCGCGCATGGTGAAATGGCTCCTCACCTTCATGTCAAGGCCTCCAGGGGATGATACACAGCTGTCAGTGATTGTGTCCTTCAGGATATGATTTTGGGAGCAGCAGCTAACAAACACTGCACCCTATATAGACAGTAAAATGTGACACCACCCATTTTAAACAGACAACTTGGGCAATGCGAATCTTAGTGGTAGGTTGAAGACCAGAGAGGTGCTTCCCCAAGTTTTCAAGACTATGTGAGACTCACTGTCTTCTTGGTGGCCCTGGGGAAGAAAAAGTATCCCCAATAGTGAGTTATGTTTGGCATCGCATTTGAATTCCCTGCCTCATAGGCAGCTGCTCTCAAAAGGCAGGGTGGCACGGGGGTTAGAACTAGATCTTTACTTCACCACTCGCTAGCTGTGTGACCTTGGGCATTTTCAGTAGAAAACCTCTGACGATTCCTATTTCCTCATCTTTAAATTGAGCATAAAAATAGTATTGCTTTCATGGGGATATTGTGAGGATTAAATAGCATGAAGCCTTTAGAGTCATGCTCGGAGAAAAAGTGCTCATCAGATATTGTTGCTAGATATTAGTGTTGCTGTTATCATTGTTCTCCTCCTCCTCATCATCATCTTCTGCCCCTGGATTTCTTGGTCTAACACATAGTTGACTTGAGTTGTGGATAATTGAAGGTGAGCTAAGAGTGGCCGCAAAGAAGGCTGAGAATTCATGCATGAGCTAGAAGCGCTTGAGGTCTATTGCCACAGGCAGTGGGCACATCTTCCGACACGAGTCTGGCCCCGAATGCCTGGGATGGGTACGTTTTTGTCATTTTTCAATAATCTTTGTAAATGTAATCCCTCTATATATTGGCTCTATTTGAGCTGAAGTGGCCCAAAGAGTTCATGAGGGAAGCAAGAGGAGCAAGTGAAACATTTTTAGGGAGAGAAGAAATTAGAGAGCCTTCTATACTTTTCATGCTCTTGCAGTTTGAAGTACAGATTAGATTATTTGTTATTTTTTGGACAGGGCTCTGCCTCCAGCCTCAGAATGTGTAGGGATTGGCTAACCCTTTTCTACCCCCAATCCCTGCCCACCCCCCGGAGGCTGGGGCATGGGTCTGTGATCTAGATTCAGCTAACTGGATCTTCCTGCAAAGAATTTTGAATCTTGAGGAAGTGAAGGCACGAGACAGGGATGGGTTAGGCAGGGAGCTGAGTCCAAGGGCAGTGCAGTGGTGGTATTAATTTCGACTGTGTTAGTGAGTGTTAGTTGAGCTCAGCTTAACAAACAGCTACTGAGTGGACAGAGGTGAAGGCAGTGCAGTTCCCAGCCAGATGAGGGGACCAACAGGCCAGTGGGGAATCGTGAGAATATGCCCAGTGTTGAGAGAGGTGCACAAATGATGCTGGGGGCAGGGTCGGGGGAAGCGCATGGGAATGGGGGAGTAGAGGAGACCTCCAGGAGCAGGTGGGGCCTCAGCTGTGGGGGTGAGGAATAGTAGAGCTGGCAGGGAAGTGTGGGGAACAACAGCAATTCTGTGTGGTTGGAAGTACAAGTTGGAGTTTCAGGACATAGAGATATAAGCAAAGATCAAGTCACAGTGAGCCTTATAACCAGGATGCCTGTGTAATTCATTGTCCAAACCAAGGAATCAAATCAAACTTTTCATTTTGAGATAATTGTAGATCTATATTCAGTAGTAAAAAATAATACAAAGACATCTTGTGAACCCTTTACTTGGTTTCCCCCAGTGATAACATCGTTGAGCAAAGCTATCGTACAATATCACAACCAGGAAATTAACATTGATATAGTCAAGGTAGAACATTTGCATCTAATACCACGAGCATCCCTCGGATTACCCTGGTGTGGCCACACCCACTTTCCGCCTACTCACCCTCTCCTTAACCCCTTGCAACCATTAATCTGTTGTCTATTTCTACAATTTCGACATTTTTAAAATGTCATATGAATGGAATCAATTTTCTTTATGCTTACAACTTTCTCTGCCCCTGCATAAATCACAGGAATGATCTGTCTTCAGAAAATAGAAGCTTCCCTGGCATCCATGGCCCTTTTGAAATTCTGGTCCAATGTCAATTTATATGTACCAAATTGTTAAATGCCATTTATTCAGATCACCAGTGGACTCCTGGCACATTCTCCTTCATACAGAGGGGAGAATGGACTTTCGTTCTGTGAACATTCTAGCATTTCCATACAACAGTCAGAGGAAGACATAGACACACCACAGATGTGTGCAAGTTGTCAGACTCAGAATCAAAATGGAGTCACTTGTGTTAAAACAAACAAACAAAAAACTAAAAACCAAAAACTCTGACAGGTAGAGCTAAAAAAGGCTATAAAGGGAGGTTTTTCATGCATAAATGCCTGATAATAAAAACTATCACAAAAGAGTCTATAAAAACCAAAACGTTGCACAAAGGTTATCACAACCTTATGCACAAGATAATTCTGCAGGGACATCTCCCCATCAACTGCCGTCCAAACTCAGACCCAGTCACCATTGTTATTGATTCTTGTAGCCAAGGGTAATCATCTCAAAACAGCTATGTAACCCTCCTCATATTTTCTTTAAAACCATTTGTCTTCCCTTACTTTCCTTAATGCATACATAGTTTACGATGGTATGTGTATTCCCATTGCAATACCCTATTCCCAGATAAATATTATTTTCTTTTAGAGAGCTTCTCTCTGTTTGTTATTTAGGTTGACAGATGCAAAGGCCTCGAGATTGTAGATACCTGCAAAGTAACAAACAATGGAAAGGAATGAAGATAGAAATGGGGTTTGCTAACACGTGGTCAGTATGAAAATCTGCAATCTTAATTCAAACATGCAAACATGTACCTTATTTTTTCTTAAGTGAGTGGTTCATAGACTCCCCTTTCAGAAAAAGAACTAAACATACTAGTTGAAGGCAACTTAGCAGAACTGATTTTATTATCATTTGATTTATTTATTTTGAGATGGAGTCTCTCCCTGTCACTCAGTCTGGAGTGCAATGGCACGATCTCAGCTCACTGAAACCTCTGCCTCCCGGGTTCAAACAATTCTCCTGCCTCAGCCTCCCAAGTAGCTGTGATTACAGGTGTGCACCACCATGCCCAGCTAATTTTTTTTGTATTTTTAGTAGAGACGGGGTTTCACCAAGTTGGCCAGGCTAGTCTCAAACTCCTGGCCTCCCAAAATGCTGGGATTACAGGTGTGAGCCACTGTGCACGGCCAGCAGACTGATTTTAAATGTGTCAGTTGAAGATTTAAACTCAGTCAATCCAAAACTATTCAATTTCCTCACCAGTTCCTTCCCTCCTACTGTTACTGGAAAGGGGTCCTGATCTAGACCCCAAGAGAGGGATCTTGGATCTCACGCAAGAAAGAATTCACGGTGAGTCCTTTTTCACTTTAAAAGATGGTTTACCTTATTTTATGTGCCTTTTCTGTGTTTTCACATTTTTTCCTTCTGGAAAACCCTTTCAATCTTCATTAGCTTTTATTCTTTATATATAAAATTTTGTGTATTATTTTGATTGAATTCTTTATCTGTTTTATTCTTGTGGGCTTATTTTGGTTTTGTCCACAGTCCTACATGACACTTTTTTTTTTTTTTTTTGAGACAGAATCTTGCCCTGTTGCCTAGGCTGGAGTGCAGTGGAATGATCTCAGCTCACTGCAATCTCCGCCACCTGAGTTCAAGCAATTCTCCTGCCTCAGCCTCTCAAGTAGCTGGGATTACAGGTATGCACCACCATGCCTGGCTAATTTTTTTTTTTTTTTGTATTTTTAGCAGAGATGGGGTTTCACCATTTTGGCCAGACTAGTCTCGAACTCCTGACCTTGTGATCCATCTACCTTGGCCTCCCAAAGTGCTGGGATTATAGGCTTGAACCACTGTGTCTGGCCCTACATGTCATTTTTATAGTTAGTGGAATTGTCTTGCAACTTTCCAGATCCTAAGTGAAAGCAGAAATATTGGACAGACATGGTGGTTCAAGAATATAATCCTAGCACTTTGGGGGGCTAAATCAGGAGGATCGCTTGAGTCTGGGAATTAGTTTGAGACCAGCTTGGGCAACATAGTGGAACTCCATTTCTACAAAAAAAAATCTATATCTATATCTATATCTATATATAGATATCTATCTATCTATGTACCAGGCGTGGCGGCATGCACCTATAGTCCCAGTACTCATGAGGCTAGGGTGGGAGGATAGCCCGAGCCCAGGAGGTTGAGGCTACTGTGAACTATGGTTGTGCCACTGCGCTCCGGCTTGGGTGACAGAGTGAGACACTGCCTCAAAAAACAACAAAAAAGAAAACCAACAGAAAAAGAATCCCCCAAGTATTAGAGTCTCCTTAATCAATATAATTTTTATATAATGAGGTGCATCTACTTAAAGTGTACAGTTTCATTTTTTGCAGATGTATACACACCAGTGAAGCCAGTGCTTCAATCCAGATACAAAACATTTCTATCATTCCCCAAAGTTCCTTCATAACCCTTAGCACTCCATCCCAGCCCCAGGCAATCAGTGACCTGCTTTTTGTTATTATAGATTATATTTTCTAGAATTTTACATAAATGGAATGATATAGTATATACTCTTTTGAGTACGATTGTCTTCATTCTGCATAGTATTTTGAGATTTATCCATGTTGATACATGTTATCAGTAGCTCGTTCATTTTTATTGCTGAGTAGAATTCCATTATATAGATATACCATATTTTGCTTATATATTCACGTACTGATGGACATTTGGGTTATTTCCAGTTTGGGGAAATTTTAAATAAAGGTGCTATAAATATTAATGACATGTCTTTCTGTGAATAGGTTTTAGTTTCTCTTGGGAAATTAGGAGTGGAATGGCTGGATTGTATTGTAAAAGAATGTTCAAGTTTTAAACATTCATACAGAATTTCTTAAAATGGTTTTATCATTTTACATATCACCAGCAGAGTATAGGAGTTTCAAATGCTTCACATCCTAGCTCACACTGGATATTATGAACATTTTAAATTTGCTTTTTAAATTTTAACAATTCTCATTGTGGTTTTGATTTGCTTTTCCCCAAGACTAATAATATTTAGCATCTTTTTGTGTGTTTATTGCTTATTTGTAAATGGTTGTTGAAGTTTCTTTTCAAATACTTTGTTTATTTTCATGTTGTTTTGATTAACTTTATATTAAGTTGTGAAAGTTCTTTATATGTTCTGGATACAAGTACTTTTTTCAAATATAAGAATAGAAAATATTTCCTTTCATTCTGTGACTTGCCTTTTTTTAAAAAG